CATATAAAGTAATTAATTCATGTTCAATTAAGCACCCAAAATAATTATTCAATATCATATTTAGGAATAAAAAATTATACAATCCTAAATTCATCTATATCTATACTATAAAGTCCCTATCAAAATATCGTTCGCCTTTTTTTATCCTTTAAAAATTAATTTCACACCAGACAAAATAGTCATTTAATTATTTTTCGAATATTTAGGACTTCAAAATCAACTAAAATTTTATTTAAGAAGATCCTAATATTAGGTCTTCAAATTCAATTAAAGTTTGCTTTATTATTATTTTTCCTTATTTGACCAGTTTTTATAAATATCCTTTTGGAGTTTAGTACGTGACCATTAAAGTTTTTTTAATTCTTAGCCTCTAAGGTATATAATGGTATTTTTTCCCTCCAAATTACCAATAATTGATTGCCTAAAATATAGAACATCCATCAGCAATGTATATTCGCTTTTTCCTGTTAAATTTTTAAGAGTTTTGATTTAATCTTAACTTTAAATTTCTAAAAGTCTGAACTAATATGGTGTTAATTTAGAAATAAATTAAGCTACCACCATACTATGTGAATGTGCAACTATAGTTAATATGTTAAACCTAAGTTAAATTAATGTATTTGGAACTCTTGAAATAACTATAAATTTGTCGTCCCCTCACCCCCTCATCCTCTGATAATTTTGAAAAATTGACCCCAACATTGTGAACTCTTGAAATTTCAAAATTGTTATTAGCATAGTACATCCGAAGTGAGTTTAGGATGGTATTGACTATTGCATGAAGTGAATTTAGACTTAAACCAATAAGAATTTAGGCAACTTTTTTTACACAAGAAGAGGTTCATTTGGCTATAATTTTAATTAACTTTGAATGAATAACTATTTTTTTGTATAACGACATTATGAACGTAAAGTTTACAAAGAGATGTTGAACGAAATATAACATATCATATTTGTATCTAATATAATAAAATATTTATAGCTATAAATACTATAGAATTCATTACACTAACTTCACTCGGAAAATGTTGAATTCAGCTATATATTATATCAATGTAGTAATATCTTTTTCTTCATTTAAACATATATTGCGTTTAGTTTTAACTCCATTGCTATTTTTTTAATAATTTGTATATGTTTTATATTGATTAACGTGATGCACACGTGCAACACACGTACACTAAAACTAGTTGTAAGAAACAACACTAGAAAACCATTCACATTGATATGTACAACAAGGTTTCTCATTGTCAACAAAATACACAATTGCTCCAGACATCCTCTTTCTTTCCAATCATTGTGGTGCCTCCAGCTGCATAATGAAAACAGCACAGAAATCCAAGAAGAGGAACTGCGGACCGCTAATTCTTTGGAGATCAAGCAGGTATTTGTCGTCTGGAGTTTTGTAGAGCTGCAACAGTATTTACCCAAATCCACATTAGGGAGATTCAAATAGAAAAAAAAAAAAACTAAAAACGCTCCTACTAGTAGAATCACTGGTATTCCGTATTTGAATGGATTTTTCTTTTTTCCAATTTTTTGAACATGATTCAGCGATCGATGTAACTGAATACTAGATGCTAGGTCATAGACGATAGATTAGAATTGGCAATCTTAAACAAAAACTGCTGTCCAAATCTATGCATCAGTTATCAAATTCATGAAAAAACCACTATTATGTTGAGAGCAAAAGATAATGAAACAAAGATGATTATACCTGCATTTCAAACTTCACAGCTGTTTGTGGCTGAAAATGTGTACTTAGGGCAGTCGCATTGCTAATAAAATGATCATCATTCATATGATTGCTGGCCATGCTATGAAAATCAAGATCGTGACACCATAAACACTTCATATTAAAGTGCCCAATTTTTTTCCATCGAACATTTAGTTCTTGCAGAGTCCCAAGAACCTGATTCATGATTTCCCGTGGATTTGCTGGAGACTGACAAAGTAATCAACAATGAAATTGAGGAAATTCATACAATCTTTCCACTACATATACTGCAAGACAACTAACCTGAAGTCCAACTAGCCATTTTTTCTCTTTGGAAAATGGTTGTCTCAAATTTGCTTCTTGAGAAATTCCATTCCCAGTGGACAGCTGTAGATCAAGATTTGGAAACAATCCTGGGGAATAACCATCCTAAAGAAACACAAGAAAGTAAATATCAAGGTCAACCTCATGAGTGTGGAATACTTGAGGCTATAGTAAATAGTTATGTGACATTTGAAGAAGCATAGCTCTAAACTAGAGCCATCAAAATGGGCTTAGCCCGTGAGACCAGCCCAACTCAGCCCGCTACTTGGGTAGGGTTGTGCTAGGATTTTTTGAGCCCATTTAAAACTGAGGCTTATAAGCCCGACACAAGTCAGCCCGTTGGCCCTTGAGGCTTGACCGAGGCTGGGCCTGGGCCGGCCCGTGGGTTAAAAATTAACAAATTAATTAACTATTAAATATTTAATATTTAAAAAGTAAAAACTAAAAAAAACTATTAATGATAATCCCCATTCCCCAACCCTAGATTGCTCGTTTACCTTTCCATATCAACTAGAATTTATATTTTTGACATGCATGTAATATGACAATTAGTTTTTCTTTTGCTTAATTAATAACGAACTCGAAAAGTTTTAGTTGACCAATAATAATCAATTTTCAAAAGAAAATATTACTTTAAGTGGCCAATGATCAATTTGGATTACTTTAATATACTATATACTATTAATATTTAAACTGCTCTTTAGTATAGAAAAAGATCATTTTTGAATCCACAAAACAAAAAAAATTGATCACTAGCAAATTTCAGGAATTTTAAAAATTTTATGGTCTATAATGATGAAATCAGCAAATGATATTAATCCTAAATTAAAAAACCTCAGCATTTAAACTTATTGAAGCAATCCCTGAATCTGAGGAAAATGAAAGAAAAGCATTAAGAAAATATTCATATAACTTTAAAAAAGAAGAGTTAGAGATATAGAGAATTTGCATTTCAATGACGAAATTCCTCGTTAAATATCAAGCTTTTTTACGCTCTAAGCAAACAGAAGTTATGTACATGATTAATTGACTATGTCACGAAAAAATATTTAAGAATTTAAAGAAATTTTTTCTTAAAAAAATTGAAGGGCCGGCCCAGCCCGCGGCCCTCTTAGGGCTGGGTTGGGCTGGCCATTTTAGGCCCATTCATGTGGCGGGCTGGCCCATCCTAGCCCATCAAATTTAAAAGCCCGCGAAGCTTGGGCTGGGCTGGGCTAGGCCGTTTTGACAGCTCTACTCTAAACTTAGGGAATAAATAGGGGAGTTACGAGGATAATATTGTGTAAAGCCAGAACTGAACTACCAGTATTCTCAAACTTGTAATAAGAGTGACAATATGAACCATAGTAGTGGATCTTAAAATTAGTCATATGCAAAAGAATATGACTCTTGACATGCTTTGCACCTTCATATTCTCGAAGGCGAATGGATTCAATCAAGCAAATATCAGGGGAACTGCTACCTCTTCCCCCAACCCCAAACACAAAAGAGGTTAGAAAATGCGCTAGCTCTGAGTTGTAACACTACTTTTAGGACCCGTTTGGCCATAGATTTTGTCAATTTTTTTTTTTGGCAAATACATGTTTGTTCATAAATTTTATTCAAATTTTGGCAAATTCCCAAATCCCAAATCCCTGGAACAAGGGTAATAAATAACAGCCCAAAAAATTTGTGCTATGAAAAATAATGACTATAAAATAAGAGAGAGCATACCATAGATTCCTGAAACTCAGCTGCTAGATAGCCACTGGAAGCCAAGGAACGGTTGTCATACACCAGATAGTATGCAACAGTAGCCTGAGACAGACATATAAGGTATAAACAAGCTGAAATAATTAAAAGGTTGACTACATTTCGTCCCTTTGCAATCAATTTGATTGAATGTAAGCCCAGACTTCAGTTGAATCATGTGCAT